AGGGTTCTATCCCTGCCTCTGGCATTTTATTTTCCGACATTTCCTTTGTTAATTAGGTATAAGCAAGGCAAGCGCGCGCGTGGTACATCCTCGCATCAACACCATCAGATCATCATGTAACCAGATCCCACACTTCAGAAAGCCACTCTCGTGATGCACCCTCAAAGAACCATCCCCACTAAATCAACCCAGTGCCTGAACTCTCTATCATGGGCCTGAGATTTTTTCTATTTCTCACCCCCATTTTATTTGTTCAAAATTCAGGGCCATTCTAACTTTTTTTTATTTCATTTTCAGTTTCAACCAAAAAAAACACCTTGACTTGGGCCTTTTTGTTTTTTGCTACTTTTCAACCCCCCCCCCCCCCCCCCCCATTTTTCTTTTACAGCACCCATGCCCATTTTATTTTCTTTATTTTATTTTAATTAATTAATTTTTAATTTTATTTAAAATCATAAAAAATGATTAAAAAAATTAGATTTAGGTTTTTAATTAATTATTTTAATTTTTGACAAATAAAAATTAACGATGCGGGTTCTGCTATTGATTTAGAAGACCTCTGTCCTATCCATTAGACAATGGACGCTTTTTTTTTTTTCACGAAAATTTCGTGAAAAGGGAAAGAAAAAAGAATTCTATACTAAAACTAAATGAAGAAATTTACTAAATAAAAAATAGAATATAAGCGGGTAGCGGGAATCGAACCCGCATCGTTAGCTTGGAAGGCTAAGGGTTATAGTCGACGTTTATGAATGAACGTCTCTAATTCAAAACTGAACGTGAAACTTTTGTTTCATTCAGCTCCTTTACAGAATAATTTAAGAGATAGATGGAATACATGAAAAAAAGAATCCATAACATCTATGTCAGCCTTTCGGTATGAATACAATTAACGTTGCTTTTTAGATGATCCCTATAGAAAAGGAGTATTCGAACAATCTCTTTTTTTCTAGTTACTTCATTCTCTATTTCTATTTGAGAGAATCTTTAGGAAAAGAATAAAATTTCCGTCGAGCTAAAAAAATATGTTGATGTTTCTAGTAAACTAAAAAAATCATTTCATAGCTATTTTGCTTCAATCTCTCCTATACAAAACAAATAATAAAAAAATTGGAAGATTTAGTTACGATTGGAAACGAATTTTATATATCTTTCTCCCTGAATCCTTTACTTATATTAAAAAATTGGGATTCTGGATCCAATTGCAAAAACTTATGTTTCATAATTTTAGAATCAATTCTAAATTGTATACAAATTATGATAATGTATATTATTCCTCGAATTGCTCCTTGAGAGGTATAAAGGATTAAATACCTTTAAGTAAGAAATAAAGTTTTTGATCATGATATGAATCACGGAAGGGACCCCTTAACTATTACTATTAAGGGGTCGATAGAACGAATCGCACTTTTACCACTAAACTATACCCGCTACAATACTATTATTGTATATAAAAAGATCTTTTGTCAATATCAATACAGGAAGGGGAATCAATCCTAATTATGAAATAGGTGCAGAATTTTATGATAAATACAGTGTTCACATGTTTCGTAAAGGGCCCCCTAATGAAATTTAGAAAAGGGGGAGAATCTCATTTTTGGATTTTGTTGAAGGTATTTTGACAGATAGATCTCGACAAAATTACTAAACGAAATTCATAAGACAAAAATGCATTGTGCAAGAATCCATAGTTCTATTTCTTTTTTTAGATACGTTAATTGATTAATTCGTATGATATACAATCAAAAAGTTATTTTTATTTTTGTTTGATCGTATTAAAATGTTTTCCTTAATTACAAGTTTCTTTCAAATCTGATACAGAAAAATAAATCATTGTGATTCATGGGAAAAAAGAGTCGTGCCAGTACCTAGCTGGACTCTGGTTGGATAAAAAAATAAACTAAAAAAAAAGAAAAGAAAAAATTTTATATTGCGTATATATAGAATATAACTTTAGTATAGGTATAAGAAAATATAACTAATATTTATGAGTTAATATAGAATTATGAATAGTAATTAAATAAAATGATAATCAAATAGAAAAAAGATAGATAGATAAGATATATCAAATGACGATCAATATCAAATAAGATATATAGAAGGCTTTTTTGAGCCCTACTTTTTGTTCTTTTTGTTTATTCGAGGTATCATAAGCATAATAATTCAATTTTTTGAATTGGGGAGAGATGGCTGAGTGGACTAAAGCGTCGGATTGCTAATCCGTTGTACGAATTTTTGTACCGAGGGTTCGAATCCCTCTCTTTCTGTTTATTGATGATTTGGCATTTTTTTCTTTTGAACTTCTGGAATTTTTTTTTATTCCCTGTTTGTTTCATTTTTTACTAGTTAAAGATGTAAAATAGATAGAAAAACGAAAAATATTTAAAAATCCAGCATAAGTACGGAAAAGAACAAAGATTTTCTTATTCTTCACGTCCAGGATCACGTCCTGGATCATTAGATAGGAATCCGAAGATGAAAAGAGAAACAAAGAATATCACTATTGTGTAAACAAATAGTTTTAGAGTAAGCATTACAAAATCTCCAAGATAATAAATAAAAAAAATGACAGAGAAAGAGAATAGATTCTCTTGTATTTCATATTATGTTTCCTTTGATACTCAGTTTATAAGAAATGAAGTTATTTCAAAAAAACTAAAAAAATTGATTTGTAGTAAGAGTTGAGCCTTTGTTTTACCATTACCAACAATTAAATTTTTTTTCATATCCACAAGATCCACGTATTGGTGGTAGACTCAAATCGAATAATAGAATAATATAATTTTTATTTTTGAATGGAAAAAAAGGAAATGATGAGATGATCCATATTTTTATTGTCTATCCAACAATTTCAAGATTTATAATCACGGATTCATACTGTAAGACTTACCTTATTTTTAAAAATGTTAAAATTTGAGTTTTCTAATAAATTCCGACTTTCTACTATCTCCTAGAAGTTGGTTAGCTACTTCTCATTTTGTTCTAGGATTCTTCCTATTCGTAGGTCATTTATGGCACGCGGGACGAGCTCGCGCAGCTGCCGCAGGATTTGAAAAAGGAATTGATAGAGATTTTGAACCTGTTCTTTCCATGACTCCTCTTAATTGAGACATGAAATCCAATGCTTGACGTAAGAATCACTTTGATTTTAGTATACATATTGGGTTGAGTCGAGCAGATCATATTGAAAAAATATTTTGTTTTCCAATTCATTTATATCTAATCTTTTTTTGGGCTCGCTATATCACCACTTAGCCGAGCCCAAAAAAACCGAGCCAACCTAAATCAAGAATCAATAAAATAAAAAAAATCCATTCGCTAAGAAAAAGGAGAGAGGGGGATTCGAACCCTCGATAGTTCTTTGTTTCAAACTATACCGGTTTTCAAGACCGGAGCTATCAACCACTCAGCCATCTCTCCAAAAGCTAATTTCTATTTTATCTTTATTTCACTCAAGAGAACATGACCATACGAATTCATACCCTGTTATCTATCTATGAGAAAGATATCTAGTGTGAATCTATTGGTCTAGTTCTCTATCCGTATATATTATATATACATGATCCAGCATGCTCTTTTGTGAAATAAAAAAAACTACCCCTCGATCCATGCCTTAATAACGGGTGTTATCTAAAATCAGTGGATTCATGAAAAAACCCTCCATAATGATAATGTGTTTTTTATTTCTTTCTTGAAAGGGGTAAAAAAAAGGGGTTGGGGGATCAAATGGTATAGTTCTTTTGTTGGTCAATTAGAAGATTATAAACATGACTATTGCTTTTCAATTAGCTGTTTTTGCATTAATTATTACTTCATCCATTTTATTAATTAGTGTACCTGTTGTATTTGCTTCTCTTGATGGTTGGTCAAGTAACAAAAATGTTATATTTTTCGGTACATCATTATGGATTGGATTAGTATTTCTAGTGGGTATTCTTAATTCTCTCATCTCTAAAAACTATTCATTCTAGATCAAAAAACGAAATGACCCCTCCCCCCGAATTCTTTCGGGTTGTGAGGCACATTAAAATGGAATATATAAGACCCCACACAGAAAGAAAACTAAAACATTTTTATTATTAATGGGAGGGGTCAAACTTCTTCTATTGGAAAAAGCTTATATCTTATCCTGAATATGATATATAGTAAAACGAAAATATTCATATTATTTTTTTAATATAGAATATACTAATTTGAATTCTATTCTAGAAAAAACTAAGAATAGAATATTAAGAATTCTTAATAGAAACGAATATTAATAGAAAATCGTATATTTCGAATAGAAAGATATAGATATTCCATAATCTATTATCTATAAAATATATATGGATTTCGACTTTTCTTGATCACTCCTAATAGATATCAAACACCGCTCTGCACAAATCGAATTGATATATCAAGTAAAAAGTACAATAGTTTGAACCGCCTCCAGTAATCCTGTACTTTCTTGATAAAAATCAAGACGATCTATATAAGGTTCGTCTTCCGTAGAAGAGTCGTATTCGTCTTCCGTAGAAGGTTCGTCTTCCGGAGAAGATTCGTCTTCCGGAGAAGATTCGTCTTCCGGAGAAGATTCGTCTTCTGTATAAGGTTTGTCTTCCGTCGAAGGTTCGTTAGAAGGTTTGTCTTCCATAGAAGGTTCGTTAGAAGGTTTGTCTTCCGTAGAAGATTCGTATTCGTCTTCCGTAGAATATTCGTATTTGTCTTCTGTAGAAGATTCGTATTCGTCTTCCGTAGAAGGTTCGTCTTCAGTATAAGGTTTGTCCCATTCAATGGGATCCAGAGAAAACATGTCTTCATCCATAGGATTCCAAGTACCTGGATCAATCGAAAGTTCGATTCTATCTGAACTGCTCATTTTCAAATGATCTCCACAGTGTTCGCAAATATTCATTTTGGATTAAAAAAATTTCTTATAATTTAATCCAAAGCAACTTTTGCATTGAACCCATAAATGCTTAAAATTTTCAGTATAAGAAGTATCTTTTGGATCATCAGGATTATTGTATTGGAGTAAATTTACTATTATTTGTATCATTAGAATATTCTATTGGAGTAAAATCACTATCATTTGTATCATTAGAATTTTCTATTGGAGTAAAATCACTATCATTTGTATCATTAGAAAATTCTATTTGATACAAATCACTATCATTTGTATCATTAGAATTTTCTATTTGATACAAATCACTATCATTTGTATCATCGGAAATGTAACTATTCAAGTCACTGATATTGGCATTGTAGTTGTCACTATCATCTAAAATGTAACTATTCAAGTCACTGATATTGACATTGTAGTTGTCACTATCATCTAAAATGTAACTATTTAAGTCACTGATATTGGCATTGTAGTTGTTACTATCATCTAAAATGTAACTAGCAATACAAATTTGATAACGAAGATAACTCTCAATCCAACTATTAATGTTCTTAATCCAATTACATTGAGTATCATCTATGTAATTAGGATCATTACTCTTAGAGACATTTGTCAAATAACTATAATTTTGATAACTAGCAAAAAAACTTTCTGGTTCATTAAAAAAAGAATGATTATTGTCAATCTCCAAAATTTGATTTTCAATAGCAAAATCTATGGAATAACTATTCCTATTACTATCCCTAACTAAAAAAGTTTTATCAGATAGGAAATTTTGTATGTTGCTGACATCTACTAAATAATCACCATGGCTGTAACTATCATTTTCACTATTGTTCTTCCAACTATGAATGTCATTATCCACATCAGTTAAAATAGATGGGTCATCAGTTAAAATAGATGGGTCTTCATTTACACCGTTATTTTCAATAGGATCAAAATTATATATTGATTTACTTAAACCACACCTATATTCTAAATCCCTATTAAACAGCATTGAATTGAACCACTTTCTTTCCATAAATATGTTTTCCTCTATTTCATGAAAATACAATAGATGAATAGTCATTCGATGATCATTTTTTATCGACTTAAGTATAGAAATAGAATTGCGAGGATTAATAACTTATAATAATAATGAGCGAAGAAGTATTGAAAAAATGTATCATTTATATTTAAATATGAAATCAATAACTATTTCTAATATAAAAATGAATGAATAGAATAAAAACAAAGAAGTAAAAAGGCTCATTTGGTCTACGGTATTTATGCACCAAATTAGTTTATTTCTTGACTTTTTCCTAATATGAGGTAGGTTGAGCACCGAATTTTGGAATAAATAGATCACTCAAATCGAAAAATCGAGGATCCCTATTTCTAGATACTAGAAACTAGATAGTATAAAGAAAATAGGGCATGTAAGACTCCACAGCTAATATAGTCACGTTTTTCAAGTCCCACGCTGCTTTTTACTACATCGTTTCAAATGAGGTTTTACCATAACATTATTTTTTAGTTTCAATCTAGTATGTAATTGATTCCATTTTGAAATCGTGCATAGTCATTGACTCAATAAATATATAATAATATATACTTTTCACTTCTAGGTTTTAGGTTTTCCGACTATACAATTTTATTTCTAAAGTCAAGAAGTCGAAATTAAGTCAATATTCTATTTTCATGGTTTGTAAATTAAATATAAAAAATCAATTTCTAAAAAAAAAAAGGAATCTTTATTCGGATATACAATTTGTATTGAAATAGGTATATATCTTGAATAGATATGATCTGGGACGGAAGGATTCGAACCTCCGAATAACGGGACCAAAACCCGCTGCCTTACCGCTTGGCCACGCCCCATTTTGATTCGACATTAATAAATAGTATTATGAGTTGTTCGTCAATTACACTTCGAAATTTATTCTATAGAATAAATTGTTGCTAGAATTTTGATATGTATCGATATCGAATTAAACGAAATTTATTGATCATTCCATAGAATTCAATTAAGATATTGTTTGAACTTATTCAGTTCAAATCAAAAAAAGTGGGGGTCTGATCTTAGTTGATTCATCTTTTTTTCTTCGTTTTATTACTGATTTAGTAATCTTCATATCTATAAATAGGAATTCAATATTTTATATTCTATCCTTTTTTATTTTCAAATTATTCATTTTCTATTCTATATATTATCTATTCTATCTAAATAAAATCAAAAAAATTTGATTTTATATTTCATTGTTAATATAAAAGTATAATACAAAAATGGATAATAATAATAATAAATTATATAATAAATCATATCATATATAGAATAAATCATATCATATATAGAATAAATCATCTATATAATAATAAAAAAACACAATCAAAATTAGAATTAAAAAAAAAAGAAAAAAGACAATTCATTTTCTTAAAGAAAAACATTTTTGTTATGCTTAATATCTTTAGCTCGGTCTGTATTTGTATTCACTCTGCCCTTTATTCAAGTAGTTTTTTCTTGGGGAAATTACCAGAAGCTTACGCTTTTTTGAATCCAATTGTAGATTTTATGCCAGTAATACCCTTACTCTTTTTTCTCTTAGCTTTTATTTGGCAAGCTGCTGTAGTTGACCCTCTTAGTCCGTTATTGCTAAAATTAGGGCGTAATTTGTCTTTATTTCAAAGAGGATTTTTCCCGCTTAATGGATCACTTTTTGTTACCAATGGGAAAAGTATATTTCATCTTAAATTAAAAATTAAGGTAATTTGGTTTGCACCAATTGAGAAAGCATAAATTTTATACACAATAGAATTATATATATACAATTCTTATTAATTGAATATATTTTTTAATTTCAGTATATGATCTAAACGAGTCGCACATACACCTTAATACATGTTCCTCGGCGTTGAGGGCATCCCCGAAGAGCGGGAGATTTTGTTACAGTCCGGATTGGCTGTCTTGTGTTTCTAATAAGTTGGTTTATAGTTGGCATGGGGATTCATATACATAATGATCTGGTTTGGATCAATCCTAACCTGATAATTTTCAAATTGATAAGGACTCTATAAAATCGGGTGATTAAAAAGATAAAAGACAACATCAAATTATAATTCTGCATTTAGTCGGTACGTTAGGAAAGAAGCATCAGAAATAGTAGAAAGAAAATATTCTCATTTATTAGGATCAAAAAGGGAATAAAGATTTTATGCAAATTTTGGATTTACAAAGAATCCGCTACTGTATCAATTATTCCGTAGGCTTGGGCTTCTTCTGCTGACATAAAAAAATCCCTTGCCATGTCTTTATATATCTGCCAGGAAGGTTTGCCTGTTCTTTGGCAATAAATATTTATCATAGTTGTTTGCATTTTCATTATTTCCGTCACTTCCATCATAGATTCTCCCGTGTTTCCCTCATAAAAAGAACTAGCAGGTTGATGCAGCATTACCCTGAGAGTATACTATAATTAAGGTTTATTTCTCTTAATCTTACCGTAAAAAAAAAGAATGAAGAGATAGAAAAAAGAACTTCAATTTCTTTTTCGCCGTACAGGCAAGCCTCTTTTTTTATTTATTTTTTATATAGCATATGGCTCTACTTTCAATTTTTCATTTTTTTGACCCTTCATTGAAAAAATACAAAAAAAAAATACCGGGTTTATCAGACCCAGATCAGTAAAGAATCTAAAAACCACCCTTCTTTTTTTTTGAGAATCTTTTTTAAAGACTATGATGATTCCGTTGCTATCTTATTTCTTCTAGTTTTTGATTCAGCAATCCCAAAGTTTCTTTTTTTCAAATAAGTCCAAAAAATTGTAACACTAAAAGAGGCTCCGATAGATCAGATAAAATAGTAAATACCCCTTTTTCACACTACTCTTTCGATATATAATCTAATGGTTTTGAAAAAAAAAATTATTTTTGCATATCGAACTCAAAGTACCATGCTTTTTTGACTTAATACTGGCGTAGACATAGTCTTCTTTTTTTCTCTACAAATAAGAATCAGTGGCGCCAAGCATGAGGGAATGCTAAACGTTTGGTAATTTCTCCTCCTAACAAAATAAGAGATCCCATTGAAGCGGCTAATCCTACGCATACTGTCTGTACTTCTGCTTCTACAAATTGCATAGCATCAAAAATTGCCATTCCAAATAGAATCCCTCCGCCTGGAGAATTTATAAACATATACAAATCTTTGTTCTTGTTCTCTAAACTTAGATACACCATTATACCGACGAGTTGATTTGATATTTCACTGCTAACCTCTTTACCTAAAAAAAGTAGTCTTTCGTGAAAAAGTCGATAGTATAAGTCAATCCAAGAAGCTTCATCCTCGCCGGGAACATCAAAGGCTACTTTGGGAACACCTACCGGCATAAACTGGAATGGAAATTGTCGACCGAATTTTGCTTTGGTGTGAGAACATCCGGAGACAGAATGAGTTGATTTTGTTCAAAATCATTTTTATTTCGCCAAATAACATCAAAAAAGAAGACTAAAGGAAAGTTTTGATGAATAGGTCGTTCTTGGATATGTCTCTACTGCTATTCTTGTTACGTGTTACTGGACGACTAATGAATTGAATTCTTTAAAATGAAAGAGGGGATTCTAACAAAAAGGATCTCCGACAACCAAAAAAAGTATATTTCTATATTTCCTATCGAATTGAAATCTAGAAATATTCTTCTTTGCTTCATGAATTATATTATTAGAAACCAATTAATCCTATTCATTATGTATATGACTCCCCATGCCAACTATAAACCAACTTATTAGAAACACAAGACAGCCAATCCAGACTGTAACAAAATCTCCCGCTCTTCGGGGATGCCCTCAACACCGAGGAACATGTATTAAGGTGTATGTGCGACTCGTTTAGATCATATACTGAAATTAAAAAATATATTCAATTTATAAGAATTGTATATATATAATTCTATTGTGTATAAAATTTATGCTTTCTCAATTGGTGCAAACCAAATTACCTTAATTTTTAATTTAAGATGAAATATACTTTTCCCATTGGTAACAAAAAGTGATCCATTAAGCGGGAAAAATCCTCTTTGAAATAAAGACAAATTATGCCCTAATTTTAGCAATAACGGACTAAGAGGGTCAACTACCCAGCTAATCTTCATACTTAAATACCGTTACTGTATAGCTAGATTTTATTGTGAAAGACCTATTACTATATATTCAATGGGTAGAGCTAAGAAGTGTGAACTGTACAAGTTCACAATAACATTGATTAAATCAAGATCCAATGAAGGAAGAGGCTCCGGTGTATAGAGAGGACCTCACCGTTTAACAAGTAATCATAGAAACGATGGAACCCACAATTTCTTTGTTTATTTCTATTTTATTTACTATGTTTTTTTGAATACCTAGTATCAATAGAAGTTATTATTAAGAGTTAAAATACTTATACTTAGAAAAAACGAAAAAAAAAATAGTGGTTGGGAAGGTTATAGTAGCAAAAGCCATTGGAATTTATATTTTCCACATTGGAAGAATCCATGTTGTTCGTAATAGACTAAACAGGATAAAAGAATAACTGAAAGAAAAAAAATTAAATAGTTATTAATCAAAGTCTCATTTATCCAATGAACAGAATTAAACGAGGATCTATCGTGAGAAAACGGAGGACAAAATTGAGTTCCTTTACATCAGGCTTTCGCGGAGCTCATTCAAAACTTATTCGAATTATTTTCCAACAGAGAATAAAAGCTTTGGTTTCGTCTCAACGGGATAGAGATAAGAAAAAAAGGGACTTTCGCAGTTTGTGGATCAGTCGAATAAATGCAATAATAAGCCAGAATAAAGAAAAAATATACTATCGCTATAGTAATTTAATGTATAATCTGTACAAGAATCAATTGCTTCTTAATCGTAAAATAGTTGAACAAATAGCTAGATTAAAGGGGAATTGTCTTTTTATGATTGCCAATGATATCATTCAAAAATAAAAATTCCCCGGAGACTTAACTCCGGGAAGGTGGTAGAATAAAATAGATTTGTATGATAAAATAGAATTCATATGAATTAGAAAAAGAAATAATCAACCACGCTCAAAAAAACAAA